TACAGTCAAAATGTCTTATTTTCTCTATGGGTGGAGTCAACGATGCCTTGATTACATATACATCAGTCATTGTATGGAATTATTGAGAAAAATATTTTTGTAGCAGCTCAAATATTGTGATATTAGCCTTTTTTTGTCCTGAACATATATGCATTAGTCATTGTGGGGAATTATTGAGAAAAACATTTCATAGCACCTTAAAAACTTCAGAAATTTGCCATTTGAAGATATAAATTCAGTTCAGAGTTTTTGCTTCGTAAAACATCTTAATTGACTGTCAGTCAGGTATTATTAATTTCCAGCAACCCTCAAATCAAAGAATAAAGACACTTTACGCACAATTTAGGTGTATTTTCCCTTTAACACACGAGATGATGGTATCATTTTTTATACTTATTGGAATATAATTCATTTCATCTCATTTCATTATGCAATATGTATACTTTGTTGGCATCTTATTTTGAAAACCGGATGTTCGTCTGAAGTTTTCACGTTAATCTTTCGCTAACTTTGCAAAATCCTTCGCTCGCTCCCGTCCTGTGCCGTTTGGTTGCGTTTACCGTAAGTTTCAGCGTATAGGTGCACTACAATTGAAGTGTCTGCTGAGTTGACCACGGAGATCTGAGTGTCTGCTGACTTGACCGCAGTCCTTAACTGGCAAATGACTGAGAGAGTGATACAAACATAATATCTAACAGATAAACCATAAGGCATTCACACGTACAACGAGGTTTAAGAGTTACTATTTAAACTATATAACGTTAAATGGGGCTCAATATTTTTACACCACTGGTTGAAAATGTCAAACTTCAAGTTGCCTGACCATAGAATGTAGTTTGGGCCCAACCGGGCACTGTAGCTTTAAAGAACCGTAGGGCCTTCTGGGTAATATCTGGTTTGTGTTTTTGCCTTCTGTAAAGAGTGCACAGATGGCCGCCTTTCCCATGGACATATGAGCTTGAAAATACTATGTATGTAGTGTAAATTTAAGTCATACGTGACTATGCGCTCTTATCTCTCTTGTGGTATGAGTAAGAAGTGCCTCAAACCGGGGACTTAATTGTTTATGGCTCCTGATATAATGTGCAGTTGAATTAGGCTACGATGCTAATTTAGCTTTCAAAACGGAAATAATTAATAGTTGCACTTCAACTAAAACTGTTATCGCACAGTTTAATAAACCATTTTGTAGGATGAATTGTCCACGTCTTTAATGTTGTAATGCACAATATCAAGAATGTGTATTCGCTCTCTGGCTTGTTAAACCAGGAATAGGCTATCCTTTGTTTTCAATCGTAACGCTATATTGATTGGTTGAAAGGGAAGCGGGGCAGTGAAACAAAATGGATGAAAGTGCCGAAAATGTTGACAACGACGACATTGTCATTATTGTGGAAAACGAGGCGGAAAGTTTGCCGGCCGAGGAAGAGCGGCTGAAGCCGCAAGGCGCCTTCGGGCTCATGGACACCTGTCCCATCTGCAAGTTGAGCTTCCACAACAGAGAGCCCAAACTGCTGCCGTGTCTTCACTCCTTCTGCAAGAGGTGTCTCCCGGCCCCCTTCAGGAGCGCAGACCCGAGGCGCGACTCACAAGGTCAAGTCGACACCAAATCACGTGAGAATAGCTTATGTTCATGTCACTCAGAACAAGCAGATAAACAAGTGCTAATTTGAACTCAAACAAAGTAAAACTCAAGTCTCAATCTCAAACGGCCACATCTATTGTCTATCTCTCTGTATATATTATATTAAACTCCTTGGTGAATTCCTAGGCTCACGTCACCCACATATGTGTGTTTGTTTCAAACAATAAAGGCTTGTCGGTGGTTGTGAGCTGACACCTTTAACAGTGGATCTTGTCTCTCCTGCTCCAGTGGGTGCCGTTCGATGTCCGGTATGCAGACAGGAATGCTGGGAGATGGACATGTTGGATAATTTCTTCGTCAAGGACTCTGCTGAGGTGCCGAGCAGCACCGTGGAGAAGTCCAGCCAGGTACAGGCCCTAACTGTCCTATCCCGAGCCGCTCGTCTCCAAACAGTTTTTATGACCCCCCCTTTGTTCTTTACTTTTGTCGTCGATAGTTGTGTATCAGCTGCGACGACAACACAGAGGCGACCGGTTACTGTGTGGAGTGCGTGGAGTTTCTGTGTGTGACGTGTATTGAGGCGCACCAAAGGGTCAAGTTCACCAGGGATCACACCATACGCCAGAAGGAGGAGATGTCTCCAGGTAGTGTGTGTGTGTGTGTGTGTGTGTGTGTGTGTGTGTGTGTGTGTGTGTG